CTATAGCTTTAGACTGCCGACTCCTGTCCTCTACTTTCCTCCTTTCTGCTTTACTCTCCATACATTTATATGTCACCATTGATGCTATTTACTTTGTGTCTGTGGATCTGATGCTACACGCCTGATCTGTATTAACTGGCCTCACAGAGCTCCCCAGTCTTTACTGCTCTCCTTTTTGCTGTTTTTCTGTTGTTTACTGCTCTTCTTTACTCTCTCTCCTTTACTCTCACCCTAACCAGTTGATGCAGATGGCCGCCCTCTCTCAAAAGGAAGTTGTTTTGTCCCAGTCACCAAGTGCTGCTCAAAGGGAATCATCTGAGTTTGTTGGGTTTCTCGCTATAATGTAATATAGGTCTTGACCTTTCTGTGAAGTGCCCCGAGCTGACATGTTGTAAACTGGTGCTATATAAACAAAACAGAATTGAATAGAACATAGCCTCAGGATCCTACATGGTGCAGCCCTATACAAAATGAGAGGGATGACTCATGCAGTATATCACAGTAAATCTTTATTTGTAGTGCAGACAACACACAGTGCTCAAATACTGTAGGTACTCCCCATGTCTTACAAGGTGTCCATTTGTTTCTTTACACTGCTGAGAAAAATTCACTATTGAAGTGAGAAATAAAAAATGCCACATTGAAATGATTTCACATTTGGGCAGCATCTGCATCCGTCAGTGGCCTTTCAACACTGGTAATCCCCCCCACCCCCCACCTGACTGGGAAGACACTTAAAGCTGTCGCAACACTGGGACACATCACATGTACATTGTCATCAACGTTAGGCTGAAGGTTAGTGCTGCTGATGATCACACCTACCGTGACATCAAACTGGGATATGCTGACATGAAAGTGAACATCCGTGTTTAACCTACAATATGTAACAGAGTGATCTGACTCATTCTTATTTAAATCAACACTAGTGTCTGTATGAAGGCCCATTTATAGCCTACAAGCAAAATAAATTGTGATGATGAGGATGAGCTTAACTGGGTAAAATTCAAAAGATGTATGCACTTTCACTTTTTTAAAATATGCTTCCTAATACCCTGAGCCAGAGAGGTGTTTCATAGAGAAGGCTAAAGAAAAAGGACTTACAGTAAAAATCCTGGTTTGATTGATCCTAGAAAAACAAACCAGGTTTGAGCTTCATTAAATGACAATAGCTCACTTATTACAGAGCTGCATGTTTAAGGCATTCTATTAGTCTAATTTCTCTCTCTGTTTTTTTTTTAACCCTACACAAACAATAATTATATATATTTTTTAACAAACGCGAAGCCACTCTGTCTCCTGGTTCTAGCTCCACATATAATACAGACATTAGATTCAGACAGAAAACAAACAAGCGTATTTCTGACAAACTCTTTTTCAGTCAGACTAATCAGTTGTAGCACCTGTAACACCACCCTGTTAATCAGTCTGAGGTGAGTGAGAAAACTAGCTTTTCCATAACTAGGCTGTCCTGAGGCTTGGATTAATTTAGGCCTGCTTTACCAAACTGAAGATTATCCTGGTTTGCTAATGTAAGCCTGGCTTAACAGCTGCTGCAACTTTATGAAACATCTCTCTGGGTAAAAAAGATGGAAGTTTCTGGACTACTTGACAGAGTTGCTGATGATCTTCTAAAACCTGAGTTTAAGTTTGTGTGACGCTACAAACTACAGTATACAACACAAGTCAGCACACTCCTGTGCAACATCAAAAAATGTCAAATGATTCAAACTTGTATTCCTTTACACTCCTTGCATTTCTTCTAGGTTGAACAGTAGGCTATTTGCCCTTACGTAAAAAGCTTCAACAGTTTAGATTTACTATATAAAAACCATTGTCCTGATGGAATATTCCTCTTCTGCCAAGATTTAGTCATCTTGGAGTCATCTTGTCAGCCATTATTTTGGTATATCCATAAGCTTTCAAGAGAACCATCTATAAACGTCATCTCCTCATCACCGTTTTGCACTCATGCAGCCCCATATCATCACCATACCATCTCTGTGCTTCACTGTTGGGTTTATGCATTCATTGTAGTAGTCCTGACCAGGTGCACACCAAACATGCTGGACCCCATCTGAGCCAAACAAATTTATCTTGGTTTCATTTGACAAAAGAGTGTGCACCCAGCAGTCATCCATCTTCTTTTCATGTTATTTAGCAAAGTTTAACCTTGCAGTATTGTGCTGAATTGTTTTCTTTTTTAACACAATCTAAACTTTCATAGAAACCCAATACTATAGTGTCATTTTGCGATGATGGCCACTGTACTTCTAATTAGTGGTTTTATGACTCAATATATTCCTCCTGAGTATTGCTGTACCTGTTTCCACTGATTTTGATTGCTGATCTTCCTGTACCATTTTCTATCTTTGTGAAGTCTCACAATGAGACTTCTCTCTTTCTCTGGGAATTCTTTAACACTTGGAGCCATGATGCAGACATACAAACAGACACAGCCCATAGGCCAAAAACTGAGAAAGTGCTGCTGTTCACAGCTTATTGTAAAACCATGTTCATGCAATTAGGCTGATTGGAAATCCCAAGTGTAGTCAACTTCCTTTTAGTGATAACAAGTGTAATAACTTTTGTTGCATAGACTTTCTACTTTGAGGCTTATATTTTCAGTTAAGTGTCTATGAAATATTTGTTTACGATTGTTCATGAGAAGAAATGCAATGCTGAGAGGTGATACACGTTTGAATCATTTGCAGTTTAAATTTACAGTAAGTGATATTGAAAAGGGGGGACTCACTCCTATTGTATACTGTATGTTCTCATTTAGAAAGCATTGTGTGTAGTTTTTCATCACAGTGAAAATTGGAAAATAATTTTGGCACTATACAAAGTTTGTGCTTTGCAGCACATTGCACTTTTTAAAAATGATTATCTCACCAAGTGAGGCCTACTATAGTACACACAAGTGCATGATTTGTCTATTTGATTCTATTTGGCAGCATACATAAAGTGTCTCCATAAAAAATCTCGACAGACATCATAAATTAATCACGATAATAATAAAGTTCTCCAGGGGTGGATCCATAACAATACACACATATATATCAAACACACTACTCATGCACTGTTGCATACATAAAAAACACACACATGCTCACACTGATCCAAATGTGTTTTCACATGTGTAACCACTCTGATTAAAATTATATTGTGTAAATTCTATTAGAAATGCAACATTAACAAATATAGATCTTTTAAAAATGGATCAATCCAAGTATTCAAAGGTGCAATCAATGTTATTTTACTGCCTCTTTGCATAATACTGTACATGAATAGGGTCTTGCAGCTGTTGATGATGACACTTTAAAACAATTTCTCTAAAACCCTAATGATCAACTTGTGGATGTTTGAGATCTGTTTTCAGTCTCAAAGGGTAGGTTCACGTTTTCTTCAATAAACACTGAAACAAATTTTCTTCCTGTTTACTGGACAATAAGAGGCCTGTTTCTAATGCACTTCCAATCTAAGTACTGGGAGACCATATCTACTGTCCCCTTAAATGGGTACAACTAGCTCAGTCTGCTGGAACCCCAAATGATCTTGAAATTGATTTTGGAAGTCCTTTTTGCACACAACAAGGATGGTGAATTGTGCTCCCCATTACTAATTGTCAGTATGGACGCATGGAATAACTACAAAAAGAAAAAATAGCTCCTGTGTAGTACTTATGTTGGCACACAGGGCATTATTTTGGCTCTGTTTTGTTATGAATGATAAATAAATGATACAGAAAATGTGAAAGTAAAGCTGCACTGCACATTGTCTGTTAAGGTTCAAATACAGTTTCCAGCAGAATATTTCTTTTCAACTATAGTTGTGGAGCCTATACTAATGGCAAGCGTTTATAACCATCTTCTCAGCTGTTTGCAGCCTAGACTGAACTGGGGACCTGAGCCAGGCTTGGTCTAAATTATTCTCAGTCTAACCTAAAGACACACAGTGCTGCTTTTCAACTGTGGCTGCTTGTCGGTGCATCATGTTGCTGCCAGTTTAGGAGTTTTCTCTCCCAGGTTCTGGTTCAGGGCAACCACATTTTGGATACAGTGTAGTTGTGCTTGGGTATATTTGAACTGGGTGTCACCGTCCTTTCAATACTCAGAGCAATTCAGAGTTGGCCAAATCGCAATAGAAATGCTAAAAATCTCAGGTCCTTGTTCAAGAGCATTGGCAGAACAGAGGACTTCACAAGTCTTTGTAGTAATCATAATAAGTGAGACCAAGCCCAAGACCTGGGACTCTGGGACGTCCAGAACAGACAGGATATTCAATCTACACTAGGTTGTAGACTGAGTATCTCAATGGATTGCAACAATCATTTGGTTGCATACCATTGGGTTGTTGCAGTATTTAGTTGTCAATATCAATCTCTCTAATACTCAAGCTAATCGAAGTAAGTTCAGCTCTACCGTAGACACAACTTTTGGGTTTGTTCCAGTAAAAAGTGAACCTCCAATCCCTTTTAGATAAGGTCTGTTGTTTTGACAAAAATGAAAGAATGGAGGCTGAGTTCAGGTACATTTTTGACTGCTACCTCTGCGCAGGACAGCGTTATGTGGCCTGCATATCTTTGGACTGTAGGAGTAATGTGAAACAGCTGACATAAACTCAAAGAAAACTCCACACAAGGAAGGCCCGGAACTGATATTGTTCAGACTTTTGTTGTAACATTGCTAAATACTGAGCCACTGTGCCCCTGTAGGTCATAATAATACTGATTGCAACTTTAAACATCATGGAGCAGAATAATAGTTCAGCATTAATTTAACGTTTCTTCTGTTTAAAGGTTCCTTGTAAAAATTGTCTTGTAACACATTTAAAGTTGACTTTTTCATAAAGGTATCCTAAATATCACTGGGGTATGGAAATTCACTGGAAAATCAATCTGTGGTTTAAGGACAAAGCTGAAGACAAGGAAACCCAAACACTTACAAAGAAATCTGATTACAGGGCTGTTGGAGGGCCTAGCTGTTCCAAGTATAGGAAAACTATACTGTGGTTTCATTCTTCCAAGGGCCAGTCCGTATGTTTCCTGTGGCATCTGAACCAAACAGGCCGTCTTCTTGCAGACTCCTGTTTCGCCCGATGGCACCTCGCCGGCTGATGGTGGCATGCTGCCGCGGCAGGGTATTTCTTGGGAAACCTTTATGCTCCACCTCTACGCAGAGATTGTCTTTCTGTTGGTCTGCTGTCTTTGACATGCAGCTGTAAGTGTCAGGGTCTTGCTGGTATTGCAAGGTGAAGGGATTGGACTTATCACAACAGCTTGTGCTGGAAGAGTGGTCAGCTGAGCTGTACATGCGCCACTGGCATGTGTGAACCCCGTGTGAAGGCAGGAGTAGGCTGTGACAGGAAGTGATGCTGTCATGCATGTTGTGGGCGTGGCTGTGGCAGGAAGCCATTGAATCTTGTACGCTGTGGCAGGACGTCTGGCGTTGCAAGCTGTGGGATGAAGCCAACTGCTTATCCAATTGAGGGCTGGGACAGGGAAGTTGGAGATCTGGGTGTGGGCTGTGGGAAACCAGTGGTGAGCTGTCAAGATGGTGTGCAGCATGAGGGCTGTCAAGGTGAGAACTGTGCACACTCTCATCCATACTTGTAGAGGTCATGTGAGAGCGATAGTCTTGGAGTAACGGGCGAGGACGGTTAAAGGAGCGTGACTTCGTTCTGTCGGTAAGGCAGCTCTGTAGAGGAAGAGTTGGACGAGGGAGCTCATCGGGAAGTGACTGTGGGCGTGGTGAGGGCACTGGCTCAATGAGGGGAGTGATGGGGGATGCGCTGACGGGACTCATCACAGCTAAACAGCATGGAGCCGTATGATTTGGTGTTGAGCTCTGGGGAGGTGGTGTTATTTTGTGGTAAGGACTTTGCATAAGGTGAGGAGCAAGCAGCGACTGTTTGCCTGAGAATGTGGGGTTCAGGTGGCAGTGTGACTGATGGAGCTCCTGCCTCTGGCTCTGTCCATCCCCATTCCTGTCATCTGTCTTGGACTTGGATGGGCAACAAGCCCACCAACGGTGCCACACATCATCACGTTTGGCACAATGCTGGATTAGAAGAAAGAGTCCCAGAGTGACACAAAAAGCCCCATACAGACAGCTGAATATCATATCCAGAAAATGTCCCAGTGATACTGCTAATGCTCCTAAAGCCCAGGTAGCCAGGAACAGAAACAGGGTGAAGGCTGTGGCCCGGAGCTGGGATTTAAATGAGTGCTCATTGGCCAGTACTGATATGCCGGCAGCAAATGGTGGACAGTCCCCAGCTGGCCCTGATGATCCCCCACTATCAGTGGGGCAGTGGTGGTTTGACTCATTAGATGACAACTGCTGCTGCTCCTCCCTGAGAACCCGCAGCTCGTATTTTCTCTCTGGGTGGCGTTTAAGTTGGATGTAGGTGCACAAAAAGTACACAGACATGACTAAGACCAGAAGACTCATAGGGGCATAGAACCCTCCCAGGCTTGGTTCCCATGCCATCCAGCAACTGTAAAATAAATACAGAGAAATAACCACTTATTTTATTTATTAAACAATGAATGTACACTTGATTAGTCAGAAATAATGAATACTTACTATAAAGCGTCATCCCTACTGCCATAGTTATCCATACCAAATGCTGCTGTAACTCCAACAATTATGAGGGGGATTCCATCACTTACAAGATAAAATCTGCAAAGAAAGTTAAAGTTATTAAGTATAAATTCTAGCATGTAGATGTTTCTGTTGTCTATCCATCAACACGTCCACCATGTTGGAAAAGATTGAAATTTCTGTAATAATTTCTATTTGTCAGATTTCTGTAACTACTGGATCAATTACACAGAAATCTTGTACAGATATCCATAGTGTGCTGTCAATAAATCCTAATGATTTTACTTGTCTTCTATCAACAATGACATTTTGTTACTTTATGTTTGTCACTGGATAACCATGCATGTATGCTGAATTATTATGGTGAACATAGTCATCTTTGTACCCATTAAACCATGTCTTTAAACTGTTGCTAGTGGATTCACATATTCATGCCATCCTTCTTAAGTAAGCATCACACTACTGGTAGTTGTCTCGTGGTAATACCTCTTCGCAAGTTTTAAATCTATTACACAATGAATATTGAACTGAAGCTTGACATTTGAGGATTATTCAGTATTTGAAGATTTGTTCAATTTTAAATTGTTGCCAGTAAACTGGTTTTGCCTTTAAGGCTCCTCACACTGTCATAGCACACTGACATTAATTTCAGCTCATCTCAATTTTATCTGAATTGAATTATTTTATTTAAAAAAGTAAGGTATAGACCTTACGAATTTAAACAGACAACCCAACAATCCAAATTAGCCTTTGGACTCCCTCTGAGCAAGCGGGCAGCAACGGTGGGAAAGAACCAAACCCCCCAATGGGAGGAAATCAGAGCCAGGCTCAGGGAAGGCAGCCATCTGCCTCAACCGGTTGGGTGAGAGTGGGGATGGGGGGGATGGGGATAGCAGAACAGCAGTTGGTGCTGACCGGGTACACAGGGAGGAGCAGCATCAAGTAGCCAAATTATGGTTGTTATTCGCTCTCTGTAAGTGTGCAAGAGCACTCAAGGATAAAGTGATTATGAAGCACTTGGCTCAACACTTTAACACTGCTGCTTTAGTAAAATAGCAGAATATCTTTAAAAAAAAAAAAAAAAGAAGACGTCAAAGGGCATCATATCAATATCATAGCTATAATCCTTGCAACACAGGTCAACAGCTTTTAGGCATCCTTCCAGCCTTCCATGTCACGATGTTCTTGTTTTGCTTGTTGGAAGAATCAGGGAAGTTAGGATTCATTCACACAGTATGATTTTCATAATCAGTCATAACAATGCTCAGCCCTGTTGTACCCAGAAACTCCTGCTTACAGCTTACCTGAGGATAGTTGGTTTAGTGTGACTTTGGGCTGCTGCATTCCTGTCCTGGGCTTGAAGTGGGTCTTTGGACACATCTTTACAGATGTTTCTAGCAGTAAACGTCAGCCACAGCATGGTAGACAAAGAAGCATAGTGGAGCACAATACCAACCTATCACAGTTGGAGAAGTAAACAGGGGTTACTCAGATTGTCTGAAAATAAAATGAGCAAGTGTATAGATGACTCATCATCAGACCACAAAATTCCCTCCATCCGATTACATTTATGTCATACTGCTAACTGAATAGCTGCAGTGTATGAGGACTGAATGAATGAACAGGTCCAGAGTTACAAATGCATTCCAGCTGTGTCCACTGAACCGCATAACACTGTGCTGCTTTACTGAATATATATATATTTTTTGCACTAGTGCACTGAACTGCACCCATGTTGTGATTGTATTTAATTCATGATCACTTTAATTAGAATTACAAACAGTGCACATATACAGACCCCTTAAAGCTATTAGACATGATCTAAAAATACAGTTTTGTATGCTTGAGTTACTGCACAGCCAAATGAGGTACTATGTTTCACAAGTATTCCCTTTCACCTAAAAGACTGACTCATGTTGAATGTAAAACATTTTAGTGAGACTAGCAGTGGGGCTCAAAAGATTTTTACAAGTTACACACGTGGACAAAATTGTTGGTATCCCTCAGTTAATGAAAGAAAAACTCACAATGGTCACAGTCATAACTTGAATCTGACAAAAGTAATAATAAATAAAAATTCTATGAAAATTAACCAATGGCAATCAGACATTGCTTTTTAACTGTGGTTTAACAGAATTATTTTAAAAAATAAACTCATGAAACCTGCCAGGTAAAAAAATGATGGTACCCTTAACGTAGTATTTTATTGCACAACCTTTTGAGGCAATCAGTGCAGTCAAACAATTTCTGTAACTGTCAATGAGACTTCTGCACGTCTCAGCAGGTATTTTGGCCCACTCCTCATGAGCAGACAGCTCCAGTTGTCTCAGGTTTGAAGGGTGCCTTCTCCAGAGGGCATGTTTCAGCTCCTTCCACAGATGTTCAGTAGGGTTTAGATCAGGGCTTATAGAAGTCCACTTCAGAATAGTCCAATGTTTTCGTCTTAGCCATTCTTGGGTGTTTTTAGCTGTGTGTTTTGGGTCATTATCCTGTTGCAGGACCCATGAGCTG